ACGGTCACTACCGCTCGCTTGACTCGATTATCTGTCTCTATATCTGTCTATCTGCAATTAATTATCTCCTTTATTTGCCGAGCTTATGTAAAAAAAAAGAGGGTGTCTAGAAAAGACTAGAGTTGACAGGAAAAGTCAAGATCCTTTGAGAATCTCATGACGTGTTACCAGCATTTTACCACTGTCGTAACAATATGATAAAAACTTTTATACTCTTCTGATATTAAACCCCAGTTTCATTGCTATTAAGACAGACTGTATTAAATGCATATTTCATGTAATTAAACATTAAGCAGGGAGCACGGTAACAATCCTTATGAAAGGATAGGTTAGATATAACTAATCACAATATCTGATCAGAAGGTCATAATGTGCTTTATATGGAAGTAGATAATCTATCATATACTCCTTACCATGCTGTGCAGTATCCTGATCATCACTTATCTTGCTTCCTAAGAGCAACATCTATAAATTATATAATGGCTCCCTATAAATTAGAACTGAATAAGTTGGTGAAATGGTGCCTTTTACCTAGAAGTTACAGCCTAACTGGAAGTCAAAACTTCGACTTGTAAAAAGTGAACAAACTAGTAATAAAAAAAGTTTATCTAAAATTGATGGGATGTAGGAATGGAAAAAGTTCAGAAACTAGAGAGCATTTGAGATGGGAGGAAAATCTGCATTACCTATTCCTGCATTCCACCACCTAACATATATGTGCATTTACCCTGTGAGGGCAGAATAGGAGTAGTGGAATGCAGGAATGGGTAATGTAGATGTTCCTCTCATCTCAAATGCTCTCTAGATTCTAAACTTTTCCATCACTACATCCTAACCATTTTAGAATAAAATAATTTGGTAGTAATTTTCTTATTAAAGGGTGAATAATATTACTAAATCAATTACATATCTTGCATATTTACAATACGCATATAAAGTAAATCTTTGACCATGTGAAATTTGCAAGATCCTGAATGTTGTTGGGTTTGTGAACCCAAAAATAAACACAAGCATTTTGCTTTCAGTACAGAACATTCACATCTGTTTTCACGTAAAGGTGTTAACATTAACATCCTCAATACAAATGGTATAACAATTAAATATCTGCTAAATTAAACCAACAATAAAATGCACAGAAACATGAAAAGCACTGGTTTGATTTGCTGCCATACATTTGAAATTGTAAGGTTTAAGTAAAGTGCTTTTAAGAGTTTAATTAAATCTTGAGGTGCATACCTACTAAACATTGATAGAAAGTACTCAATGACATCATACTACTGCATTTTGAACAAGAAATTTTCAAGTATAAACTGTATAAAACTAAATATCTATGCAAATGTATGAAGCTATTTTAAGCCCTGAAAAAAAGTGGAGGACAAAATGTTATCATAACATTATATATATATATATATATCATGTGTACAATCTAAACACCCAACTTTCAAGTTGAATTTCTTTTATAATGTGGTAAGACTAGCTAATAGTGACAGGAAAGTATCAAGTACATAAAAGAAAAAGCTCTAATGATTTTTGTACAGACTGAATAAGTCAAACTTAACCTACAGAAGTTCATACAGACAAGGAACCAGCCATGGTTATTAAAATCAGAACTAATACCGCAAAAGAATAAAAATTGCTTGTAATAACATTCAAGTTTAAGCTTTGCACAGACTTCCCAAAATGCCATGTTAGGAGACTAGGCTGATAAAACAAGGGAAACAAAAGTTTTCAGTATCTCTAATTTTTGTACATATCTAGTATACCAAACGAAAAAGTAATCAAAACCTTATCTAGTGACCACACTACACACAAAAACAACCAAATCCACACTATTTCTGACCATGAACAATCATCTGAAAGCTGAATTTAATGTTGTTTACAGTTGGATACATCTTATTTTGCTTAATGATTCAATCTAGCAGTTATTCTTAACACATACTGATATTTCAGAGAGTAATTGTACAGGAAAATATTACTACCAGCAGCATAAGAAACTACAGCAAAAAAATTTAGTGTTGCCTTGACAAGTAAATTTCATAGGTCACATGTAATTAGTGTTTGCAATCCTCAACTTTAATGTCACATACGTAACATTTGTTGTCTCTTTACCTAACAGAAAAACCAGGATAACCATACCTAAAAACCAATTATGGAAAACATCTGAGTTTTATACAAAAAACTTTTGAAAATCTTGGAAAAGTATATTCTCAGAAAGAACAGCTTGATGTCAATTTTTATATAATACCTATAAGAAGTTGGTTTGGTGCCAAGAAAAATAAAATATTATGTTACCAAGTATCTTGTAATCAAAATGTTATAAAAAAATTACAAACCTTTTTAGTTTCTTGTTCAATCTGTGCAAAAAATCCAATGCTGTAGTAGTGTATCTTTTTCATATTGATTCCTCCATGATAGAGAGTTGCAAGTCCTGCCTTTAAGAAAAATAGCAAAACAAATAATTCTTAAAACACCTTATAATAAACTACAAGTTTTATAACCTCTGCTAGTTTATGAATCAATATCAATCATTCGATCACCTCAGCTATAATAGATTGTAAATTCTGTGTTTTATTTTTTTAATTCATAAATTAAGAAAGTATTCTATCATGTATAGATTTACAACTTCACAAGATCGAAATAGTTGTTAGTGACATTCACTTTCCAGATTGTCAGTATTTATTAATTGTTACACTATGTCATCATCTAATTCTCTGGCATATAAAGTAATGGACGAAAAGACTTGTTTCAGGCTACAAAATTGTTAGAGGTTTGGAAAGGCACTCTTTCTGTCTATAATTTGAATGATGGAACAAAAAGTTTCTATTTTTCAGTTACAGTTATAAGATTATGGAAAAGCTTAACATATTACGTGGAGTGCACTATCAGTTTGAATTCTTTTAAACTCATTGTATAGGAAAATGGATGTAAAGGATGATACTTAATTTGGATATCATGTTTTATTTGCTTATTTTTGTGGATGAGGGAAAATCTCAATGGGTGAAATAGCCTTCTTTCATCTTTTTGTTATTTCTTTAAGCAGTCAACTATGGTTATCAGAGAAAAAGATTACTGTTAAAAACTTAAATTTACAAATGAATTTCTACTTACAGCATGCCATGTAGAGCCAGCTGTTAAATCAGATTTCTCCAGTAGAACAACATCTTTCATACCCAACCTGGCTAAGTGATATGCTATGCTCACTCCAACAACACCTCCACCGATTACTACAGTTTCTGCTTTGTCCTTCCATGATTTAGTGGAAGTTGTTTGATCTTCATTAGTTTTATTGGGTCTAAAAAATATTAGCAAAGATTTAATCATTAGTTTTAGAGAAGGCAATAAATAACTTTTTATAGATAAATTGATTTATGTGAGTTACTCTACACACACACACACACACACATGCCAAATAAATTAGCAAAAAAGAAGACTTTTACAAGAAGTGTGGTATTTTTATTTTTTCACAATATATTTTCCTTTGCCTAAGATTTAAACCTGAGACCTGCTTGTTACATAAGTGCTCTACCTACTGAACTAAAGGACTAGCCCCTGACATTTGCTAGTAAGGCATTTTTAGTTACTCAAACTGGTATGACTTTTCTACACCCAATTAAAGGATTCAGATCTGATGGAATATGGTACCCACAGTTGTCTAGAAAGTTTCTGTATGTTTTGGTTGTTTTTGAAAATGGCAACCTGAAACGTTTATAAATGGACTCTATTTCCTTTTCTCCAAAGTATGGATTTATTTCTGGTGGCCACTCATTGACTTTTAAGGTACAGAGCTCAGAAATCATTCTTGGAATGGAATTAGAAGTGCCTGGCCATGGCTCATATGGTTCATGAGAAGAAGTTGGTGTGAATAACCATTGTTTCATACTGTTTATGATACTGGTTAAAAACTGACCATGATTAATTGAAATAATCTTATTGTTCTCTGTCAGTGTTATTAATGAAACTTCGTTTCCTTAATGGTATTCTCTGCTTCTAAGGCCTTTTTTCTCTTGTGTTCCGTCTTTGGTTCTAAAAACCGTGTATTGCGACGAATTAACATGTCTGCACAAACTATAGTAATATCCCTTTTCTGTAAGGGTTCTAAAGTGCATAACAAGAAGGCTAAGTTAGAAATATTAGCTAAATCAAAACGGGCCGTATCTATGTTACTGGAACACCCAAACAGAGAAACATTCAGAGAATAATAATAAAAAAGATATTATTTGGGAACAAAAAAAAGTTTCCCAAGTTGTGTCGTTTTTTTATGGAAGCTTTGCTACCAGACATTAATGATCCCACGATGGTTAGAAACATGGCTATCAAGGAGGCTCCTTACGTTTCTCAGGCCAAAAGAAAAAAGAGAGGAAACCTTACGATATAATAAAAAACGAAATTTACATTAGATGAAAATAAATGGTTTGTTTTATTCACCACATGTACAACTAAAAAATAAAACATCTAACACTAATTTTTACAGTGAATAATATATCTCCTTATAGAGACTTACATTCATGAATAAACGTTATGACACTTGTTGTTTATGTAAAATTTGTGTAAACTAAATAAGGATTTTACAGAAATACATTCACAGAATAGCGCATTGGTAGAATAAATATGTAATAAAAAGTAGAGGTGAGAATGACAAGCACAAAACTTTTGTTCTGTAGGGTAAAAGACAAGTGGAAGTCAGGAAAAGGAAAATTAATGGAAAATAAAATGAACACTTTTCAAGTATTATGATACATATGAATATAGCACACACATATTTATAAACACTTTTCAAGTATTATAATACATATAAATACATATAATACATATAAACACTTTTCAAGTATTATGATACATATAAATATAGCATATATATATATATATATATACTGGCTGGGAGTCTGTTCGTTTTGCCCCCCCCCCCCCAGTGGCACAGCAGTATGTCTGCGGACTTAGAACGCTAGAATCCGAGTTTCGATACCCGTGGTGGTAAAACGGAGTTATAATGAATAGCGTTCCAGGAAGTTTCGGTAACTTTTTCTGGATCTTTGATCTTCTTCAGAAACGAAAGTGGTCCAAAATGTTATCTCTTCCAAAGAAATATCGACCAGCTAATTGCTACATGCTAATCATGAACTTCAAACATATTTCACATATGTTTTGTATTTGAGATATAAAAGCATAATCGATATTGTGATCTGCATTTGTTATTGTGGGAATTTTTTTATGCATTTATATTATGAATCAACCTTTAACTTACGAATAATTTTTTTTTGTTTTTTTTACTAACTAGATGTATTTTTTAGTATAAATAAAAGTTTAATAAATATTTTGTTCTTCGTCCCTTTTATCGGAGTTTACAATAATACGTCTATGTTTTTTATTTCAATATTTTGTACGAAGTTCAACCACATAAAATTTGGATTGATGATAGTTTTCATTATGTAATTAAAGAATACGGACAGGGCGGATTGGCATTTTAAAGAATCAGCCCTGTCAATATCACTGATAGCGTCCCATTAATTTTTCACGTGCTGCATACTGCCCCCCCCCCCCAGTGGCACAGCGGTATGTCTGAGGACTTATAACGCTAGAAACCGGGTTTCGATACCCGTGGTGGGCAGAGCATAGATAGCCCATTGTGTAGCTTTGTGCTTAGCTTCAATACAAATAAACAAACATACTGGCTCAAAAAGAATGCGTCAAATGCCTGGTGAGCCAATCCGCCCCTAAATATGAAAGAAATGCATAATGAAATGAGTTTATAAATATATCCTATATTACTCAGCTATTTCACTGTAATAGTACGGATATTAGTTGTATTTTTGAGGCAAACGTTATAAACATCTTAAATTGCAACTTCTCCGACTTTCGGTCTGTTTCGATCGTGACTAGTATTTGTGAAGTCGGCTGGACTTCCTCTACAAACTACTACATATTTACTACACGGAACGTCTGAATAAAAAGAGACGTTTGTAACTGTTTCTTTGAACACTGCACACACACTATTTCCTGGAACGTTCCTTCGGCTGCTAAGCGAGAAGTACGAGACAACTATTATTACGGCAGTCACTTGTCAGATTTTACGTTTTATTTGTTGAGTTAAAGACCAAACGTTGATTTGAAATCAGGACGAAATGCTTTGTAATGGGACTACTTGGGAGGGAGAAGTCTGAATAGAATCTGACCCTCCCAGGTTGCACACAACGACCAAATAACTATCCAGGTAGCTATGAGACTACTCTTTTTTTCTAGTTCACAGTTAAAAATGCAAAAAATCTTGTAAACTGCGACGTATAATAAACTATAAAAAGTTATTTTTTATACACATGATCATACAAACTATGTATAATGATTGTGCACATGTATTTATAGTTTTATGTTATTTATCTCCAGTCACACGTGTTGAGACTATCTTCCAAATATTGTCACTGTAGAAATCTCCACATAAACCCGTGTACGACAGAAATTAGCTATACTAAAGTTTCAGTTTTTCTAAACTGAACTTATATATTTTATGAAATGCAGATGAATGGTTTACTTCTCGGTTCACAGAATGTATGCCGCATTATATAAGTTTATTAGTACGAAGATTAGTAGGTAATCCAGCAAATTGTTTTAGAATACAACTCATTACGTATTTATGAACATTTCTGTATTTTGAAATCATAATAGTAAATATGTCTTAGGAATTTCGTTATATTATATGTTATTGCAATTGTTATTTCCAAAGTTTTATTAGGTCTCAAAAGGTGTAGTTTTATACACTTTTTGATTGTTGATTGTTTTTTCGCTTATTTATAAAGATGTGTTTTTTTTTTGTTTTTGTTTTTTCTTTTCAGGAGTATACCACTAATTAGACAAGGGTTTTCTAACGAGACCCAAAACTGAAGAAGAATAGTGAAGTATTCGAAAGCGCTCGAGTTTTGGGTCTCGTTTGAAAACCATTACAACTTTTGTATGTGATCCTGTGTGCTGACTTCTTAATCAGACAATGTAGCCGTAACTTGCCTCAGGTTACTTGACTTGACGCTGTGAAGAATGGGAGATTTCCAATAAGGATTCAGTAGTAGAGGTGATAGCTATCCCGTAATAAGTTAAATAAAAAAAGAAACCGATATAATTAATCACGATGATTTCATTATGCTGAAGAGGTTGGCATTTTTATGTACATAATTATATACAGTATAAAGAAATTGATAATTTTTATTACATGAGTACTCTAATTTTAAGAGTGGCATGCATGAACACGGCTCTTGGTAACAAACTGTGTTGCATAACCGGGCAATACCTTTCATGCGCAATGTGTTTTACACTAATTTGCTGCACATGAAGCGTTTTGAATATATATTAAAAGACCATCTCCAAATATTAGATTATCATATTCCCAACAAAGTGTCTGGACAGCATTTTCTGTGTTGGTAAAGTTGTGTAGGTTTTCATTTATCGCTGAACTAAACATCAGAAAATAATTTGTTTTTTATTCTTCATTTATTTTTTGTATACTCGGCTTAGAAAACTTGGAATAAGAATTCAGTTCGAACACCATAAATTTAGCTTTACTATATATAACTTAATTTGCATGTGAGGTATATATCTATCATATAAAACAATACAAACAACAAAGATAAATGTATAAAACAACTCAAATTTGTATAAATCCACAGAATTGATATTTCAGATAATACAGATAATATTGTTATGAAATCAAGAATACGAAATATTATTGAACAGTTCTCTGTAGATCACAAATAAATTTGAAATTGACAACCTGTCTGTCTGTCTTGTTTATTAGCAGCAATCAATTTTTACTGTTACTAGTTTTGTTTCCGTGGGTGCTATGATTGGCTTGTATGCAATCCTAAATATTAGCTTGACATGTGGATACTATGATAGGCTTGTATGCATTCCTAAATATTAGCTTGACATGTGGATACTCAGATTGGCTTGTATGCATTCCTAAATATTAGTTTGACATGTGGATACTATGATAGGCTTGTATGCAATCCTAAATATTAGCTTGACATGTGGATACTTAGATTGGCTTGTATGCAATCCTAAATATTAGCTTGACACGTGGATACTTAGATTGGCTTGTATGCAATCCTAAATATTAGCTTGACATGTGGATACTTAGATTGGCTTGTATGCAATCCTAAATATTAGTTTGACATGTGGATACTATGACTGGCTTGTATGCATTCCTAAATATTAGTTTGACATGTGGATACTATGATTGGCTTGTATGCATTCCTAAATATTAGCTTGACATGTGGATACTATGATTGGCTTGTATGCATTCCTAAATGT